CTCACTTTTAGAAGGCATCATTTTCCAAACCATATAGCTAGTAAGTAACAAGCAAGGGTTTGTATTCAAGTGTAAGACTTCAAAGTTTATGCTGTTTCCAAAGAGAAATAAAGGCACAGTAATTATAATGAGGAGTCGTGAAAAGTTAATACAGGGGACGGCCCGGTGGCATAGTGGTTAAGTTTGTGCACTCTGCTTTGGTGGCGTGGGGTTCACAGGTTCGCATCCTGGGCGTGGACCTACTCACTGCTTATCAAGCCATACTATGGTGGCATCCCACATACAAAATAGAGGAGGATGGGCATGGATGTTAGCTCAGGGCCAATCTTCCTCACTAAAAAAAAAAAAAGTTAATGCTACTATTTAGGTCGAAAATATTATCTTTATGCTATTTAGCAAAGTAGGTGGAGTTTCAGGGATGCAGAAATGGATTATTTGATATATTTACAAATTATATGTCATTAAGGATAGCAAATTCCTGTTCTTTTGAAAATGTGATAATGTAAGAATGAAAAGATAAATTTTGAATATTTTTAGTTACATATTTGATAGGTATGTTGAGAATAATTTCCTTTCAAACTTGACATATTTATCAGTATAACGTGGGCTTAGAACTTTCATTTTCTTATTAATGCAGCTAACTCTGAGAGTGTCTGCAACTTTTCAATACATATTTTGACTCATTTGTCTTAATTTAACTGGAGTCAGGCTTTCCTATGTGAGGTACTATTTTCCTCAAACTGGGAACCTACTAATAATTTCAATTTAAAAAGAGCTTGAGGCAAAAGGACTTTTCCAAGTCTTGGCAGGTTTGAAGTTCATTGCAATTTTACTGTGGATAGAAATCTTTCCAAAGGGGGGGAAATCACTCTACAAAGGAAAACTTTGAATCCTTTTTTCTCATGTGACTTGAACCTAAAATGATTTTAACAGCCATGTATGAATCTGGACATTATTCTTCGTTGTTTAGTACTTCAAAAGCACTTTCAAGAGGCAATTGTTTTGCTTATTTGTGATTCCAAATCAAATACACAGAGAGATTTGGAAGATTTGCAACAGGAAGTAATCTCAATTTTATGTAGCCACTTATCTTGTGCAGAAAAATTTAACTTTTATGAACAAAGGAAAAGCAATCTCTTTTAAGTTATAAATACAAACCAATCTAGCTTGTATTGTTTTAATAACTAAAATGAAGATGCTGTTTATAAATTCATTTTTGAGCTGCATTCGTAGAATCATTTTAGGATTGGCTTGGTCCTGAGAAATCTAATTCAACAGATTTCTTGCTCTGTAGAAATACTGTCTTCATATATGTTATTACATTAATAACTGCCTAGTATTGACATGGATCTCTAGAGTTTATGTAGCCCTTTCATGTTTTTAACTTCATTTAATCCTGACAATTCTGTGAGATAAATATTATTCCCATTTATGTGTGGATAAGTGAGAAGTTCAGAGGTTTACTCAACATCATCTAATTAATAAGGGAGAGGGCCAGCATTAGAAGCCAGGTCTTTTGACGGCAAATCTGGTGCCTTTCCCATTGCATCATTGTCTTTTTGTGCTGATTTCTTAGCTGGACATCACATTGTTGGCTCCAGTCAAGTTCATGATCAATTGAAATCTCTAGGTCTTTTTCATATGTTGTTTTTAAGTCAGATTCTCCTCATCCTGTACATCTGTAATTGATATTTTGAACTTAAATACAAGACTTTGTTTATCCTCATTCATTTTCATTTTATTATTTTCTACTTATGGTTCTAGCCTTCTGACATCTTTTCGGTCTTGATTCTGTTATCCAATTTATTTATTATTTTTTCCAGCTGTGTGTCAACAGCAAATTTTATAAGTAGAATGTCTTTGCCATTATAGAAGCCGCCCTAGTAATCTCTTTAGTAGACTTTGTGCATATCACATAGTTAGAACTTAATAAGTGGTAATTGATGAAAAAGAGATTTTTGTACATTGAAGAGAAATCCTATATGTAATCTTTTATAAAAAAGAAAAAAATACCCTCAGTATAACTATTCTGTTGTTTCTTTTGGACATAAATATTCGAAGATTACCATAGAACTATAGTGGTTTTCTCTTATATTTTGATATGTTTGTAAATAGTACTTTTCACGGTAACTAAAATGGTTAACTATTTTCCTTTCACATCGGAACCCATTCTCAGTATTTTAAGAATCCATTGCCTTGTAACTCTAGTTTTCTGAAATTGCCCTCCTGTTACTAAAGGTTTGAGAATTTCCCTATGGGGGGCCTGAAGAGAGGAAATCTAGTTGTAAGGAGGGCTGTGGCACTTAGTTTGTGACTGTATTTACATAGCAAAGAAAGATTTTTACTTAGATGTATGTTAAAGATGAATAAAAATAACAGCTTTCTAAAGAAATTTTTATTCATGTTAACCATGAGAAAACATCAGTTGTCTGTACTAAATAATATAATTATTGTATTTTTATTTAGAGTGTTTTATGGGTGGTACTGATGAAGAATTTGTGGTGGGAGGCTCAAGTCCTACAAGCCATCCACAGATGTCATCACTATCTGGCTATTATGGGAGTGATCCTAGCTGGCCACTTAGCATCCATTTGCCTTCATGCTCTTACCACACTCTTTATAACTTTTTAGAAGCAATAAATTTATAATTCTCTATAGGTAATAACTCTGGTGAAGTGAAAGAAACATTGTGTAAAAAGATAATGTTAACAGTTCTGGTTTGCAGATGGAAATAAAGTTTTTGGATAATACCACTATAGTAATGATACGATATAGTATAATGTTTATTTTATTAACAAAATTTATCTTAATAGCTTCATCAATTGCTTTAATTCTGTATTTATGAAATCAATAAAGTCCAGAAAGAGCTAGTTAAAACCTTCAGTTAAAAAATAACACATAAAAACCTTCAGTTATTTGGGTCCGGCCCAGTGGTGCAAGCTGTTAAGTGCACATGCTCCGCTGCAGCGGCCCGGGGTTCGCTGGTTTGGATCCCGGGTGTGCACCGATGCACCGCTTGTCAAGCCACGCTGTGGCAGCGTCCCATATAAAGTGGAGGAAGATGGGCACAGATGTTAGCCCAGGGCCAGTCTTCCTCAGCAAAAAAAGAGGAGGATTGGCAGATGTTAGCACAGGGCTGATCTCCGCCCAAAAAAAAAAGCAAACAAAAACCTTCAGTTATATTTTAGGGCATCTCAAGGTAGAAACTATATAATAGTAGTTGCATTCATGTGGTTTCATGAAGATGTTGGGTTGTAGTTCTACCCATTATCTATAGCCTACCCTATTTCATTTTTTTAAAAAGTGGTTTTTGATCTTTTACATTTTTTAAATTTTATGTATTTTTGTGCTTAAATGAAAGATAAACTCCAATTGTCTAAACATTTAAGCAGGTTAAACATAATTTTTAGTGATCTGGGAATTGGAGGCTCTCATAGACACCATTAGTCAGAAAGATATAAAATTTTGTCATCCTGAGAAAACTGGCTTTTATGAAGCATCTGTACCAGAGACTATTCTAATTTCTTCTAAACCGTAGTCAGTGGATTTCACTGTCATTATCTTTGCATACATCTGAGTGGATTAATGCAATGATCTCTCGGAATATATAACTACTGAATATATGATATAAAGTCATGTGCTGTTTGACTTCATGAACTGTATCAATGAATTTTCTGTGAGTAATGTTCAGTATAATCTAGTTACACTTTGAAGTGTTAAAATTTTGATTTATTGAAGTCCTCTTTATTTATCTGAAATTTAAACCATCTATTTCTGAAAAGGATTTGAGATGATTTCTAATTATTTGCAGCGATCTCTCCATGTAACTGAGTGGCATTACACATCAGGTGTACTTGTTGAAATTTGCACTATCTGTATAAATTACTTGTTCTGAAATTAATTTCTATCTTGAAAACAGCCGCTGGTTTTATGTTTGCAGAAAACATTTTCAAAACTATTTTCTTGGCATCCTTTTCAGTGGTTAAGAATTGAATTTAGCTTTCTAATTTTCTCCTATTTATGATGTTTGAAGATAAATGCAAGAGTATATTTTGAATATTGGACCACTAAATCACTTGGTCAGATCTTCCTAGAATGATATATTTGAATCATCTTTCTTATTTTCCTATATATTCAAATTTTTAATCAAGAAATAATGTCTTTCATGGGGCCGGCCCGGTGGCGCAAGTGGTTAAGTGCGCACGCTCTGCTGCGGCGGCCCGGGGTTCGCCGGTCGGATCCCGGGCGCACACCGACGCACTGCTTGGCAAGCCATGCTGTGGCACCATCCCATATAAAGTGGAGGAAGGTGAGCACGGATGTTAGCCCAGGGCCAGTCTTCCTCAGCAAAAAAAAGAGGAGGATTGGCAGATGTTAGCACAGGGCTGATCTTCCTCACCAAAAAAAAAAAAAAAAAGAAATAATGCCTTTCAGTCACCATTTTGCTTTATCTTTCAGTTTATTTCTTTGTTAGTTTTCTTTTTTTGTTTCTTTCACCCTCTCTTATTTCTCTTTTTCATCTTAACATTTTTCCCTTCCTCAATTTCTCTAATTTCTTGAATTCCATATACTATTTTTTTCCTAAAACAGCTGTACTCTGTAATTCTTAGGATGAAGAACTTGTATTTTTCTAAGATTATGTATATCATATGTATTATTAAATTTATTATAAAACTCACTTTCCAAAGCAGTTCAGACACAGGAATGTGTAACAAAGGCCTCTGAAGACTCTAATATTGATTTTTCTAAACTGTACAAAAAATATCAAAAATATACATGAAACTGGTATAACTGAAAAGAACAAAAATGCTAGTGGTAGCAATGAATGAGTTTGCAAACTAGGAAACATCGAGGGTTAAAAGTTCCCAATGAATAATGGAATTTTTTAAGGAAAACTTTTGTGATACTTTGATTACTATAGAGTATATTTCTATCTAGATGAAAAAATAAATCAAAATAAAGACTAAATTGTCTATTTTCCTCTTTCTTCCTGTTACCAGATGAAGCAAACCTTAATTAGATCCCAGTTTGCTTGTACTTACAAAGATGACTGGGTGATAAGCAAGGATAAATGGAATCGTATTCATTCAGCATCAGAGCCTTTGTGTGTTCTTCACATGGAAAATGACCTTTCTGGTAATTGACTTTATTTGAGCAATTAAATAACAATTTAATTCTAGTGTACTAATTGGTTTTAACTTAAGTTAAAACTAGATTTTTTTTTTTTTGCAAAGTATGAAATGTGAAATGTAAAGGTTTATAGTTTTAAAGACCTGAGTTTATTTAAGAAGTTAAGTCTAAGTACAAATTTATGGATAGGGAACAGGACACAGTTTGATTTAACTAAATATATTTAAGAAATAACTTGTAGCATTTAAAGATTAAGTGTTGTGCATTCAAACAAAGCAAATTGTTGTTTGTAGGGATGAAAGTGATATGGTAAAGGGAAAGTAATGTGATAGTAATATAGCTGTATTTGTTAATCATGTAATTTATAGCATTATTTGACTGTGAATCATAAATTTTTGAACATTCTTTAGCAATTTTTAAAGTTGATTGTAAAATTCTCAAGTGTAATAATGCTAAATATTACATAATTCCTTTCCTCTTTTTATCTTGCATAACAGAAGGTATAAATTCATCTGTTGGAAGACCAACAATTGGAACAAGTTCTGGAAATGTTCATCTGGACAGAAGTAAAAATGAAAAAGTAGCAAGAAAATCAAGTAGTCAGACAGGAAATAAAAGCTCAAAAAGGAAACAGGTGTATTTAGATGATGAAACTATTCTCTGTGATAATGGAAACGAACTACCTCAACATAAAAATGTTAAGATACCTAAGACATCAAACGATTTGCAGAATAAATTGGATGGCAAACTAGCCAGAGTAGCAAAAAGCAACAAGTGTACTGCCAAGGACAAACTGATTACTGGCCAGACAAAGTTAACTCAGTTTTTTAGACTATGAGTTTGTCTTTCATGTACTTTAGATTTATGTATATATAAAACCATTCGCCAAAGACATCTACTTAATTTTTAAGAGATCAAGGTGTAAATTATGATGTTTTATTATTTTGGTCTGGAGTGTAAGGTTAGTATGTTAACCACTGTTTAAAAAATACTAGTAAGTCATAATTATGCAGAATATTCACAAAGTTTAATGCACAGATAAAGCATATCATTTAGGTTACTGATATATCTTAATACTACTTTCTTTTAAAACAGACATTTAAAATAATACAAGTCAGTAACGTTAGGGGCTTTTCCCCCACAGGCAATTCAGTGATTTTGTTTTTTTCTGAAAAGATGATGTGGACCAACAGGTATCAGACTTGCCAACAAGGTCGATAGACTCTTCCCAGCATACACCTGAGCACTGAAGGAAAAAAAAGTTTAAATTGTTTAAAGGACGATCATTATCAGGCAAAATTTATTAGAAATAAAAGAGTGGATCTAGTATAGTTAATTCTGAGTAAATCAAAATTACAATAACTAATTAAATACCTTTAATTTCATGTCTCTGGCAAGGGTCACTTAATATCAAGTGTAATTGAACCATGGTCGTATTCGGATTTTGTTATGATTGGATCCAAATTCAGTTGAACTTATGGTTCTATTTTATGGTATTAAGATATAAGAATTTAATTTTAAAAAGACTACTCACTGTCAAAATCTCTCCTTCCTATAGGAAATTTAGCTGAATTTTCTTCATCTCCAATTCCTCTCTTTTCTTGTGTTGATTCAGTATTCTGAACTCCATTTTCAGCTGGAAAAGCTACAGATCCTTTTAGTGCAAGATAAGGTTTTATAGCCAGATTCAGTGGCAGACCGTGATTTAAGAAATTATGCTTGGAGCCTTCATTCTGTAAAGAAAAAGTTGATTTGTGTTTTAGCTGTCTTATTGGGAATGGAACTATAGTACAATTGTATAATGTTCTCATTGATCAATTCAAAGATGCTCTGCACTGTCTTGACTCTTTAAAAATACCTTAGACATAAGATTTTTGGGAAAAAAACCTTTTGGATAAGAGTTGTTGTCCAGGATGGAAGAACAACCTGGTATGTATGAAGTTTCATCAATTGTCCTAATGCATATTGTGACTATTTGCACATACTTCTGTTTATAAAATAAAAGTATCAACTTTACTTTCAAAGGATTCATAAAAATCATTCAAATTCCCGTTGAAATAAAGGACAAGTCACATTGCCACTTACCTTTGAATTTTTATTTTCCTCATCGTTCATGAAACCACTCTCATCATTTTTATATTGTTCCAGGGAAGGAGCAACGACTGATTTTTCTGCAGTATCTTCCTTCTGAAAGGCCTTTCCCAGGCTAAATGTATTAAAAACCATGTCATCTTCTAAGTTTCTTATGGACTTGGATGCTGAAAGTACAACACCTTGAGAAAGCAAAGAAAAAGTTAGTATTAATATGTAGGAAGAGAGAGTCATTTTTGCCATTCTTAGTTTGATGTTTGCATAGAGTCAAACAAGTACGTGTAAAATGAAGAAAAATTTCTCAGTCAACCTGCTTTGTAAACGATTCCTGCCTTTATATATTTTCCAGCTTGAATAGAAAACACTTCAAAGACTTAGACTTTCATCATTTTAGAAATGACTCATCCTATAAAGGCTAACCTTTTGTATAGCTGCTAATACCTATATTGTTTTGGTTTTAGTGGCATGTTGTTTATTTTGAGTGTGAATTTTCTCAGAATCTGATTAAGATCCTTGGTAGAATGCTTTCTATTGAGTAGATTATAGCCTCTTGAAAATGGGTTGTTATTAAGGAAGACCACAGGACATCAGGCTCTCCATACTCTTATTGTTTCCTTCTGTATATTTTCTGATTAAGACATTCAAACTAAAGTTATTTCATTCAACGATGATAAGGATAAAAGTTTTATTTACTTTTAATCCTGATTAAATTGAAATAATCTTCACAAAGGATTTTCTTTCATAAATGCTTGATGTAGTCTTTGGTGATTAAAGTATGTATGTCTGTCAGTGTGAGCACGTTGTTAATTCTATATCTAAAATTCACCTGCTAGGTGTGTTTTAGCTCTGCATTTACAAAAGGTTATTACTGATATTTATAAATGAATTAGCAATTAGTGAACAACTAGTGAATATTCTCATGAAGAGAATATTTATGTGCTCCATAAATACTAATTTTGGATAAGTATGTTGTATAATTTTTAATTAAACATTTCAGAGTTAATTTCTCATTTTGACCCCACTGAGTAAGAGAATACATTCTTGTATAAGTCTTCTGATACATATGTGCAAGAGGTTCTCTAGGGTATATTCCTAGCTATGGAATTGCTGGGTCTTGGAGTATGTGCATGTTTGGCTCTGCTGATGCCAAAATGTTTACAGAATACTAGTAACCAATTTAAGCTGCCACCAGCGGGGTATGACAGTTCCAAGTCCTAGCCAACACTTGAGTATCTTATTGTCCTTTTAATTTGTATTTCTCTAATTACCAAAGAGGTTGTGTGTCTTTTCATGTGTATATGAGCCATTTATCTTTCCTCTTATGTAAAATGCCTTTTTTTTAAAAATATCTTTTTTCATTTTTCTGTTGAGTTGTTTGTCTTTTTCTTATTGATTCATGGGATTTCTTTTTATATCTTGGATATTAATTTTTTGTTAGTTAGATGTGTTGTAAATATTTTTTCTCACTTTGTGACTTGTCTTTTCAGCCTCTTTATGTTGTTTTTTGGTGAACCAAACTGCTTAATTTTAATGTTTAAATTTCTTTTGTTTCTCTCTTGATGGTTAATACTTTTAATAAGTTGTTATTTAGAAATCCTTCCTAACCCTGAGATCATTAACATGTTTCTATATATACTAAAAGTTTAAATGTTTTGACTTTCACATTTAAATTTTTAATCCATCTAGAATTTTGTGTATGGTGTAAGATCGAGATAGTTACGCTTTTTCCAAACCTCCTTACACATTTCTTGAATAACTCTTCCTGTCCCCGTTAATCTGCAATGCCATCTCTGCAGTGTGTCAGATTTCTATATATGTGTGGGTCTCTTTCTGAACTCTCTATTCCACTGCCAAATCTACAGTCTTAGTTATTATAGCTTTAAAATAATTTTTGATATCTGGTAGGTCAAGTTTCCCAGCCCTCTACTCACCGACCAGTTTTTCTTCTATAGCAGTTCATTGGCTATTCTAGACCATTTTTTTTCTGTATAAATCTTAAAATCAGCTTTAAATTGAATTGACATCCTTGAGATAATTTATTTTCTTATCCATGAACATGGTACTTTTCCATATTTATTTAGATCTTTTAAAATCTTTTAATAATGTTCTATTGTTTTCTTCATAAAGATCTTGTATATCTTTTGTTGAGAACTATTATTCTTTATAAATTAATTATAATTAAACTACTTTTAGTTATTGTAAATTTTCCTTTTCTAACATATTACTAGTTTTGTACAAACTGTGTACCATGCAATTGGCTTTTGTGTAGTGCTCTTATATACAAAAAGCTTTCTAAACTCTTTTTTATTCCAGATAGTTTATAAATGTATTAATTCTTTGGGGTTTTCCCTGAAGACAATTGATATAAATAACAAAATAATGACATTTTATTTCCTCCTTGCAAGTCCTTTTATATTTGTGTGTATGTGTGTGTGTGTGTTTGTCCACGTAAGCATACACACTGACCAAAACTTCCAGTAAATGTTAGAAATGGAGATAACAGAAATCCTTGCTGTGTTACTGATTTTCACAGAGAATGTTTTTGATGTTCCACTACTGAGCGTGATGTTTGCTCTAGGTTTTTTTTTTTCCCCTTTGATGAGGAAGATTGGCCCTGAGTTAACATCCATTCCAATCTTCCTCTATTTTGTATGTGAGATGCCGCCACAGCCTGGCTTGATGAGTGGTGTATAGGTCTGCGCCCAGGATCCGAACCTGCGAACCCCAGGGCCCCAAAGCAAAGCATGTGAACTTAACCACTACGCCACCGGGCTGGCCCCTACTCTAGGTTTTTTTATAGACCTCCTTTATAACTTTCAGGATGTTCTCTTCTATTTCTGGCATACTAATAGTTTTTATCATGAATTGTTGTTGAATGTTATTGAATACTTTTTCTGCATCTATTGAGATGATCATATCATTTTTCTCCTTCAGTCTTTAATTTAATAAGTAAAGTGAACAGATTTTTCTCATGTTAAATCAGCCATGTGTTCATGAAACAAATCTTTTAAAAATATTATTGGATTCAGTTTGGTAATATTTGCTTTAGTACATTTTGCATTTATTATCATGCGTGAGATTGACTGTAATTTCCTTTTCTTATATTGCCTTTGTCTGATTTGGGATTAATGTTGTATTAGCTTTATAAAAGGAACCGAGGAGGGAGGTTTATTCCTTTTCTTTTCTCTCCTGTAAAACTATTTGGGCTTGGTATTTTCTTGGTGGCATTTTTCTTTTTTGTTAACAATGGATTCAATTTCTTTAGTAGCTATAGGAACATTCAGCTTCTCTATTTCTTTTTTTAGTTTGTTTTAGGAATTTAAATTATTGTAGAATTTGTCCATTTCATTTATGTTTTCAAACTTGCTAGTATAAAGTTATTAATAATATTTTTTCTAAATATTTTAAGCCTTACTCCATCTGTAGTTGTATTTCATTTTAAACATGCTTATTTGTGATCTCTTGGTCTCTGCCTCTTCTCCTCTGCCCTACTTTTTTGATCAGCCTGGCTAGAGGTTTATCAGTTTTGTTAGCCTTTTCAGAAAACTAACTTTTGGCTTTATTGATCTTCATGATATTTTTTTCTATTTCATTAATTCCTGCTTTTTATTATTTCTTAACTTTTTTGAGGTTTATTTAGATATTTTTATAACTTCTTAAATTGGAGGAATAACTCATTAATATTTAGACTTTTTAGAAGAACATAAGCATTTGGGGCTGGCCTGGTGGCACAGTGGTTACGTTCATGTGCTCCGCTTTGGCAGCCTAGGGTTCACAGGTTTAGATCCTGGGCGTGGACCTACACACCACTTGTCAAGCCATGCTGTGGTGGCATCCCACATACAAAATAGAGGAAGATGGGCACAGATGTGAGCTTGGGGCTAATCTTCCTCAACAAAAAAAGAAGATTGACAATGGATGTTAGCTCAGGGCCAATCTTCCTCACCCAAAAAAAAAAAAAAAGCTTATAAGCATTTAAGGCTATACATTTCCCTTTATGTATCATTTTTGATAAGTCCCACAATTTTGACAGGTAGAATATTCAATGTTTAATTCTGTTTTTATAATTTTCATTATTATTTCTCCTTTGACCTCTCAATTACTTAGATATTTTTAACATTCCAAATATATAGGAATTGAAATTTTGAGGGAAAGAGTGCCGAGTTCCAACCAAATTGGATTGTTGTCAAAAATCTTGGTCTTTAATTATAGATTTGAAGTCTGTATTAAATTGAATAATATGTAATTGATGATTTTCAACTGTTTTTGATGTACAAATAGCAATTTCATATGTTTCAATATATAGAAACTTGTCTTATGGCCTATAATATCTTCACTTTGCCTAAAAGTTCTGTTTATTCTTGAAAAGAATATGTATACATTATTGTTGAGAGCAGGGTTCTATGTGTCCATAAGATGAAACATGATAATATGCTGTTCAGGTCTTGTATGTCATATTGATTTTTTGTCAGCATGAACTATCAATTACTGAGAGAGATATTTGCAAATCTTTCACTATGATAATGGGCTTATCTAATTCTTTTTGTAGTTCACAATTTTGCTTTATTAATTTTGAGCTTATGTTATTAGGACATTCAAATTGGAAATTGTTTCATCTTCCTCATATACCAAACCATGTATCTGACCCTCTCTAGCTTTAATAATGTGTCTATTACTATCACTTTTCCTGTATCTTTATGTATTAGATGTGTCTGTTGTAAATATAGCTGAATTTGGAATTTTTACTCTGACAGTCTGTCTTTTACTTGGAGAATTTAGTCCATTTACATTTATTCTGTTTACTGAATTACTGAAATTCAGTACTACTATCTTATTTTGTGGTTTTTATTTGTTCTAATATATCCTCCCACCCCCTGCCTTCTGGTTTAAGTTTAATCTATTTTTAATTCTTTTAGAGGGCACCCTAGACATTTTATTATCATCTTCAGTTGTTTATGTTTAAAGTTAATCAGTATTTTTGTCCTCCTCCCAAATAATGTAAAGAACTTAGAATCTTTAACTCCAATCACCACTATTCCTAATTTATATGCTATTCTTTTCTAAGATTTAAGTTCTATCTTGATTTTTTTAATGAAACAAATTAGGGATTATTTTATTGTTTCATACAGTTAACATTTGTTTAGATTTACCTACAAGTTTACTATTTTTTTTGACCATTTCTTTTTACATCTGAGATCCTACTTTGACAACCATTTGGCTTCTTTCTGAAGTACATCTTTCTGAAGTATACTAAGTTAGATGCTAACTTAGTGAGGGTCTGTTAGTAATGAACTAAGTTTTGTTTTGTTTTAATTAAATGTATTTTGCTATTCTTGAAAAATAGTTTCAGTGACTATACAGTTATTCAGTTGACAATTATTTTCTCTTAGCTCTTTATTAGTAGTTCAATTTCTTCTGCTTTTCATTGTTATTGCTGAGAATTCAGCTGTCAACTTTAATCATGATTCCTTTATAGGTAATCTCTATTCTAGGTGGCTGCTTTTAAAATCTTCTCTTTGGCTTTGATGTTCCGTAGTTTCACATGATGTGTCTAGGTATGGATTTCTTTTAATTTATGCTGGCTTAGATTCTTGAATCTCAGGGTTGATGTTTCTTATGAATTCTGAGAAATCATTAGTTATTATTTTTTTGAATATTGCCTCTCCCCTGTTCTTTCTATTTCTCCTTCTGGAATTCCCAATAGATATATATTGGGCCTGCCTGCTCACTATCCTCCATCTATTATAACCTCTCTTTCCTATTTTTTCTTTCTCTCTTTGTGCTGCATTTTAAATTATTTCTTCAGAGTTATATTCC